ACTCTCTTCATTTCATCATTTGCTGTCTGCTGGATTTTATCTACTTGCTGAGAAATTCTAATCAAGCACTAAGTACTTTTAATTATGAAGAAGAAAAACGAAACATTTATCAAACATTTTTTTTCTCTTCTTCCCTTTCTTTCATCTCTCTTTACTTCAGTGTAATTTATTAGCTCATTATTTGAACTTGCATTAAAATGTAAAGTTTAAAATTAATTAAAAACTCATTATAGGAAAGAAAAAAAATGGCTAAATTATGTATTCATGCAAATACCCATCGATAACCCTTTTATCATATCTTGCTGATACTTTGGCTGCTGCCTTTTCTATTAAGTTTACACCTTGTCTTTGTGCCTCGATAAAATATCTGGGTAATGCGAGTGATTTTCACTCAATTAAGCATGAAAGTTAAAACAGGAGTAGCGTATTGAAGAGATGACAGACGGGAATTATTTGCATCACGAACAATAGGGGTTGTCTGTTGAAGCTTGCATAAAACAAGGGTTAGAATCTTAGGAAAAGGACTTACAGAAGTAGAACTCGTGATTCATAACGGTTGAAAAGATGCTATGTTCGTTCTACTGAACATCCTTTTAATCAAATAATAGAACCGCTTAAGTCAATAGGTCTTTGATGAAAGCTCTTATTGTATTTCTCAGAAAAGCAATCCTACACTTTCGAATAGAATATTTCGTATCATCCAACCGTTTTTGTCCTTTCACCTGTTGAAAATAATGACAGACTTTTATACAGTTCTGTTTTTGTTCTCCATTCATTGTCATTCATGCAATAATCTTTTTATCATTTGGAAACTCTTGAAAATAAACATTTTTTATTATATTCTATAAAGTTTTCCATGTTAAATATTTACGAATATTGTTAACGAAAAAATTGCATTTCCTAGATATACCAAAAATTATTGCTGATCTTTTATAAATATTTACTGTAATCTGATACGAGAAACATCTTCATGATTATTATTTTGTAGTTGAATGGGAGTGGATAAGCTAGCAGATGACTTTTTCCTCATGGGATTTCAAAGCAAACTAGTGACAAACCCCCTGCTCTTTTCCCCATATGATGTACCCTTAGGATCTTTCTATCACCATGGTAACCACTGTGTTAGTTAGTTGCCCAAGGGCCCACTATACAGGCTCCATGTGTAGCTTTATCTGCAACCTACCTTGTTATGGCATCTACCAATGGGGAAATGAATATTTCCTCGAAACTTGTTGATACATTTTTTGTTGATAAATAAGTGGCGGAAAAAATAAACACTTTATGAGAATGTATTTTTGATACTTGGATGCAACGTTCTGGAATATGAGCTCCAATTTTCTCAATTGAACGGATGCTCAGTCACACTTCTGAAAGTTATCGATTTTAGTTTTCTTCACATGAGGGATTTTGAGTCATATCATTAGCCGAGAGTGATACAACCAATTTTAACATGTTCACTTTCATATTGCCTCTTTCATCCATTCATTGTTACTCCATCAAACTGTATTTATGAACTTACCGTACCTGTTTTATACTTGACAACAATAATAATAGTTTTTAACGCGAAATATTGCCAAATTCACTCGCTGCCATCATTCAAACTCCACTTATCTTCATAAAACTTTTTACGTTCCATTTATAGCTACTCTTTCCATTATTTTTTACGAGTCAGACAAATGCTTCAATAATCCAATGACACTTGACTATTTTCACTAACGATGCTACTCTAAATTTTAATTAATTTATGCTAAATGGAAGCTCTAAAAATAAATCGAAAATTAACGAATTAGTCGGTGAATGGAAAAACAATAGAACAAGATATAAACTCATTGTCGACAACAAAGTACCATGAAATTACACGTGGTAGGGAATTCAGTGGGAGGGTAAAGTAAAAGCGTAGGAGATGTATGGTGAAGTTGTTCATTCGTGTCTGCAGTTCCGGTGTTGTCTTAGACGCCTTCAAAGCAGACACAGTTTCAAGATTGTTATGTCAGGCTCGCCTTCTGAGCGCAGCAAACTGTATAACAATGATGGGCAAACATGCGGCCACGTTTCTCAAGGTTATCCGAATTCTCATCTCACCCTCCTTGTCTCGCTTTCTCTTAAGTCTCTTCCAGTCTTAGTCCCATTGGTTTGTCTATCATCATGTTCGCTTGCTTACCTTGCTTGTCAACTGAAGGAGAATCTTTAGATAAGATCAAACGGTGTACAGGTTTTAAGTAAACCTGTTAAAATTAAATATCATCTCTATTTTATTAACATCATCCATAAAATTTCTACAGTAGCTAAAGTTATTTTATTTTTATTTATTATATTCTTTTTAGTGAAGAAGTCTTCAAAAGCTAGTAATAAATTCTCTTAAATATAATTCATTAAAACTTAGGTAAGTATAGTCTGAATTGTATCGACGTTTTGACTTCTTACAGAAGTACCTTCATTGCAACAGGTGTTTGGACTTAAATTAAAATTAGCGATTACGTGAAATGCTCGTAAAAGTTTCATCTACTCACTCACAAATGTACAATTTTTACGATTATTCAGTAGCTATAGGGAGTTGGAACTTACTTAGATCGCAATTTTTTTGTTGATTTCACAATTTAGATTCTGATTAGAAAAAAACCAAGTGAATATTGAAAAAAGCTTTAATAAAAAATCTTCATTATCGGTCATGACTTATTTTTATTTGATTAAAAAACAGTAATGATCGTGGAAGCGAAAACTAAAATACGCAAAGAACTCGAGAAGAATTTTTTTCAAGATTCTTTTGACAGGTTATTGCATATCGTAGTTCAATAAATTCGATATTACTTGGTGTAAAAAAGAAAAAAATATACAAAAACGTAAAAAAATATAGTTATAGTGGCATAAAAAAGCTGTTTCATACCTCATTGAGAAATAAGATATCTTTAAAAAGACACTCATGACCTCCCTTCAACGTTATCCTGTTTCCTCTATTTTTATTCAGTGAGCTGTACCTGTTTTCTTTTTATTGGAGCTCATCCATCCGTTTCTGACCCATCAAGATGCGCTTTCTACATAGCAATATATACATAAAAAAAAATCTTTCTCTCAGTTCTTCGTGAATTGGCTTTTCTTTATGTATTTTTCTTTCATTCATTCAACTGTACCGACACATACTTATCCTCAGAGCAACATTTGCACGACGTAAATCCAGTACAAGGCACATCAAGAACACCAACGACGTTGACATGCTTTCCACCTGGGATGCCCGTACCTTCTCGTCTCTTTTACATCTCAACATCGAATATAAGATCTAAGGAAAACCAGTTTTATTCTCGTTCTTTTCCATTTTCATATAAAGTTTCACATAAAGCGGCCATTGTTATCCTTCATTTACTGTAGACAAACAGGATACCGAAAGCTTCTTCATGTAGAAATTTTTTTTATTTTTTAAGTAGGAAAAATAGTCTCTAATATCTGACAAAAAAGTTACCTCATGATGCATAACATAATATTGTTTAATTAAAACCATCGCTGATGTAAGAAAGCTTCAGATTACTCATAGACTGCAATTTTACTGTAAAACAATTGACTTCATTTTTAATTAATTATAAATTAATTAAAAATAACTAAGACAATATAGAAAACTTGAGAAATGACTTCTTCAATTGTATTCTTTAAATTTAAATATAAAATTTAATTATTATTTTCTATGTAGCAAATTTAATTTTCTTTCAAGTTCAAAAGAATGAAAAAATATTGTTCAGAAAATTAAAATAGAATTATTTTTTATTAGTGTTTACATCAAACTTTAATTTAACTACAATACACGTAAAATTTAAAAAATAACAACATTTATTCAACACTTTTAGTAAAGGTAAATGTAAAAACCGTGTAGAGAAAATGAAAAAAATTTTTTTTATTTAGTATTTTTATTCATTTCAAAAAGTCTAGATTTTGTATTCACAGTCACACGAGAATCTTTTCAATTTCACTCCAATTTCACTGTTGGTAAAATCACCTTTTGTACATGGAAAACACACATGCCTTTTCTTTTTTGGCGATCCTCAAAATCCTTGCACGGAATTGAATATCCTCGACGACCTACTTCGTTATTTCTATCGGAACTGTTAAGCATACAGCTGTCTTGCTCTAGCTTACTATCTGACAGATTATTTTTTAACCCCTCAGGCACAAGAAAAAGTCTTTTGGTTATTCCAATTTTACTCTTGTGATCTCATCGTCTTTCTTTTTAATCTTTCAGTCAATTGAAAAATAAACATCAAAACTTTCTTCACTGGAAATACGAAATCCTCATTTCATAGCATAAACATTTAAAGTATTATTTTTTGTTTTACTTTATTTAGAAGGATGTATACATAAAGTAAAATAAGAAAATGTAATAAAATTGTTATAGCACCATTTCTGTTTACTTATTTATTTTCGTTTTTCATACAACCTTGTCGAAAAAAGCAAAATATTATCCATGATACAGAGACGTGACATGAAGAAGTAGGTAACTCAGATTCAAAATTTATCGCAGGACTTTATGTACTGGTCCCATGTTCCCTAAAGTACACCTACCTCATCTTGCTTGCTATACCTCCATTAAATCAAATGGTGTTCACTTTCTTCTAGTCACCAGAGATTTGCATTGATTTATTTTAAATAGTATTTATTATTTTGCAAAAATTTTTAAATTCAATTTTATCAAAAAAAATTTTTAATTAAAGTGAGACATTTTAATCTATCTTAAGAATTTATGTCTATTGACAGAAGAAATGTAAACTCTCTACTATTTCATATAATTAAAATCTATTAATGTCGAAAACATTGCAGTAAAAATAATATTTACGATTGAAACTCCCTGTTTATTCAGTTCTTTTTGACGGAGAGCGAAAAAATATTGAAGGGGATGTTATAAATTAAGTCAAACATCAAAAATGTATTTGGTATAAAGAAATGAAATTACGAAGTAAATTACACGTGATTCATGATTAAAATATATATAAATAATTTTATTGTTTATGATACACATTCCTATCTATATTACAAATATACAAAATTTTTATTTACAATTCTTGAGCTCAAAGCACGATGCTTTAGAACCTTAAACAAACAAGAGATGTAGCGAAGAACAATTGTTACATTTTAATTTTTTTAATTTTTTTTCCTTTCAATTATTGAACACGGTCGTTTTACCCAACGATCGATCAATTAGCAAGAGAAAAAATGTATAATTCGTTGCGATATAAGATACAAGAAGTATTTTGTTTTTTTTTTCCATTTTTTGCACTAATTACGTTTTCATTTGTATAACTACCAAAGCTATCACGAGTTTTGTTTTCATCAAATGTAGAAATAAGTATTTATTTTATTTGGCAAACTGCATTTAAGGGTACTCCAGCGCAATAGTAAGAATTTCCTCATGATCATAAGTAGAAAGAATAGTCTCAATAGTCCGGGGTCCTGAAATGGATAGAAAAAATCAAAATTAAATTTTTTCATTTCCTTGAACAGAATATTTCCATGATATTAGATAAAACTAATATTAAACTTCTACGCAAATGTAATACGTAAAATCTAGAACGAAACTCACCTCTCTTTTCTTGATATCTAGAGACTCCATACGTGGGTAAAGTTCGATAATACCTCCGGCCAGGATCCACATCTAAAACAAAGAGAACAGTACAAAATTGAATCAATTCTTTTTCGTAAAAGTTCTTTTTTTGCAATAGTATAAGGTTCAAAGCGAAAGAATAAGCAATGCAAAAGGAAACGACGGAAAATAAAACGATACAAAGAGTGTAGACAATTGCGCGTGAATCGCTATTTCGTAATGAAAATAGATTCGACGGAATTCCATCATTGAAGAAATTCCAGCGTTCCAACGGCGACGAAATGAGACTCAAGAGAGAAAAGAAATCGATAAAATGTCCAGAATTCCATAGGTTACAAAGCAATTCTTGGCTCTATTTTCCGACTCTATGTGCAATAATACTCGTATACATACAGCTAAATGATGTTTTCTTCCTACATTTTCCTTATGAAAAGTCTTTTTTCTCATATCCTCTTTATGCGCGCTTTTCTTTTCACATTTGGCCGCACGTTTCTTGCCATCTTAGCACCGATTGTACCCTTGAATTTACGAGCCTTGAATTACGACTATTCTTTCGAGGGTGCCAAGGAAACGACCAAAACAGAGAAAAAACTTTACGTTTTACATGTTGGAATTCCATATTACTTTCGAAGAGATATAAAGCAGAAAAGGAATAAAACAAGAGGAATTTGTTTTCAATATTTCACGTACGTACATGGAAATATGTCGTTTTAATTTGACAATATATCAATTTATTAATGTAGTAGTGTACTAGTGAATTGCAGCAAGAGATCAGTATGTTTCAAAGATTTAATACAGAAGATCTTGGAAAATTCTAGACAAATTTTTCAACGTAATCCTTTATCATCACACTGTCCCTTTTTTTAACTTTTTTTCTTTCACATCACCTTCAATTTACTACTTCATATTTCTAGATTTTTCTTTCCTCTTTACTTGCCTTCATCAACTGACACTTGTATTTCTCTCCTCTACCTTCAATTTAATATCAAAGGAAATTTTACGTTCATATTGCAATTAAAAACGACATGGGTTTTTTTTATTACGTCAACGTCAATAATCTCTACATGGACAATAATTTCATTTCTGTTAATATATTGTCAAAATAATAAATGTAATACATTGAGAAAACTCGGTGAGGAGTTTTAGTTTTTCAAAACATCACTAATGGTTTTTCAATGAAATGTCAAATCATTCTATATTTTAATGATTAATCAATTTTTCAAATATTGCAAAAAGCTTTTTATGTATATTTAATTCCAATAACAACTCAAATCAATAATACATTATTTATAAACGTATCAAAAAATATCTATTATTGAAATCGGTAGTTGATGTACCAAAGGCTAAGTGCCACTTTATGATATTTTTTTTCATTTTTTGTTACCATTTCTGTAACATCATGGATTGAAAAGTTGACACATTTCAGTAACTGTGAATAAGCTTGAGGAGAACGCAGCTGCGACAACTTTAAGGCTTCAGGAGTTTTCACATGAAGTTGAAATAAATCGAAGCGACTTAAGTATAAAGCATAAAAAAAAAATAAAAAATACAACTGAAATAAAAAGCAAAATATATATAGTAGTATTGTATACTAGTAGGCTGGAATAATTTCCCTATCATATTTTACAGTCGTTCAGTTGAGTTGACTTTTAAAAAGTTGAAGAGTTTTATATTATTCATATTAAAACATTGCTACACTTTAAGACGAAAGAAAATAAAAAAAAATAGACGTCGCAATTTGTAAACTCAACGTGTGAGAAAAGTAGGCAAAACTTATAATAGAATCATCTTTTTACCGCGATCTGTTCCAAGAAAGTCGTGGAGGAATTCAGTTTATACTACTTCTCTCTTTTTTTCCGTTTTCTTTTATAATTCTTTCCGTATACCAGGTATAGGTATTCATCTTATATACCTGCCTCTGTTAAATCTTTCGTCTTCTCATATATTTCTATTCTAAAGTATAAAGAAATTTACACATAAACTTTAAATGATTGCTCTCTTCCATAAATTTGCCATACTTGGCGTATGATAAAATAATCATTATAGTTAAGTTTAACGTTGAAAAAAAAACTTGGAAAGATGTTTTTCATGATGGTAAAACGAAAACCCACAGAAAAAGATGAGGTAAAATGGAGATATAGTCAAGTGTAAGAGGAACGAAGATGGCCTTTTATTGAAAACAGCTTCAGCAGCAGGACCATTATTCCACCAACATCGCAGGCCATTGTACCAAGGCGTGAGGCTGCAGATTGAGCATCTGCTGTGCTGCGGTCTTACTTTCTTCCTTTAGTATAGTATTCTACATTATATTCTTCTCTTTCTTCGTTGCACGTTCTTGCACGCACAGTTGGATTTTCTGACATTTTGATGGTGCAAGAACACCTGAGTCGAGTTGTGATCCTATCGCACTTAGCAAGCACTGCTTTTTGAATTTAAAACGTCTGCACACATCTTCAACTTCACAAAAACGAATAGAGTCGTACAATAGCAGCCGGTAGCATCAATATAGGTAATTATTACCTGAATAACTGCCACTCTCCTATCGTCTGACTATTGAATGATCTTTTGTTGCTTATTTATTTGATCTTTTTGATTATTTTTTTTTTCTAGTTTCAATAAATATTTTATATTAATTTAAGAATTTTATCAATCACTATTTTTTCATAAGCCATTTCCTAGCAGCAGCTATTCTATCTTTTCAATCAGAATTAATCAATCAATCACAAATTGAAGTCGAGGGTTGCTATGGATGTACAATATAGAAATTAAGTGATACTTTTGATAAAGTTAACATCACACGTTGATTGACCATAGAAAATAGAGGTGAAGAAATCAATAACCACCATGTGTCGAGAGCTAAATTTTACTCTCCCTTTTCATCAATTTTTTTTTTCTACTTTTTTCTCTTCGCTTCATTTTCTTTATTTTATACTTGACCTATCACTCGTTGAACAGTAACCCTATTCAATTCTCGTCACGTTCTTTCTTATGTACTGATTGATAGATTGATTGCATTTCCATATTCTCGTCGGTCGTGTTCCTTATGGCGCTACTCCTTTCATCTTCACCTCATCTTTCTCTAATTACCTCGGCTTCTAACTATGACTCAACTATCGTTTACACTATTAACGATAACGAAAATCAATTTTCTTTTTATTCATTTTACATACAAAATTACTTTCGCTTTGAGTTAGCATCAATATTTAAATTACTACGCTGTACAAAAAAGATCATTACTACAATGATTCAAATGAAAGAGCACAAATTCAAAAAGAATGGATTAGGTAAAATAATTAAGCAAAAAATAACGAGAAAACAAATAAAAAAAAAAAATTTATAATAAAAATATATCGACTGTTGAGAATAAACGATAATTGGAAAGGAACCCTCATTAATCTAATTAACAGGCATTTAGCAAAAGCTTACAATTTGCCAGAGCTTCCTCAACCCACTGAATGATCGATATGAATTTCAATTACAACGTAACTGTATCCACCTCACAATTATTTTTTTTTATACAGCACTTGATATGTGCATGTTAATCAGAAAATATCTCGTACAAAAAAATGGGAATTAATGTGCTTTGAAATTGAAAGAAAATGTCGAAAATGCTATTGGAATAACTTCAAACCAATGATAATAGAAGCTATTATATAAGTTTAATATGTAATTAATTGGCAATTATATAAGCGTCGATAATAATATTAGATAATAATACATATTTATCAAGTTAGCAAGAAAATAGTTAGTATTCCTTGATAAACTGATAGATAATCTGATTTGTTCTTTAATTATCGAATCAGTCTGACTGTGGTATTGAATCGATTGCTTTGCATCAATCTGGTTGGTACACTAGTTAAATATCGATTCTCCAGCGCAATTTTAGTTTCGCTTTCCTTCTGTGTCGTCTCTTTCGTTGCTAGTACACGTGAATTAATTGAAACTTTGCTTCAACTCTCCCACCTCACCGTAACGACTTTATTGAAACTGAATTAACCACACAACCAGGCCTTACAATGAATGAATCAAGTCCTATGAATCTCAAACTACATACTTTAGAAAATGTCTACATTGATGCCAGGCTTCATTGAAATGTGTTTGAAATTTTTCTAGTGGGTAAAAAATGTTTCTTTAATCAGTACCTATTTAATTACGATAAAAATGAGATTGGTGTTGAGTTCCACAGGTAATTTTACAACTAAACATAGCTTTTTTATCGAAACTTTTTATTTTTCTGTGTGAAAAAATTTAACTTAACTTTTAAAATGACGATTGTGATATTAGAGAACAATTTTTTCTAAAGCCAACTTCTGAATAGTACTGAATATAAATTTTCATCGACACTACAAAGAACAACAATAAGTCCTTTCAGTCTTTCATACATTGTCATGTGTAAATGTATTTTTTGCGTAATCCTCAAAAAGAAGAAAAAAGGCGTATTGCAAGAGGCGTATCGATGCAGCTTATCGGGAGCTCAGCCGTTAATGGAAGTGAGAGAGTATGTGGCTACAGCCGGGCAAGTATTGAGGAACAAAAAACGAATCCGCCTCCCTACCTCCCTTGTCTCTAATACTAGAATAACCATCATTTTTTAGCTTGCTTATGTATATCCAAAGAGTCTTGTACATGGAATTGGTAAGTCTAACCATACGTTGGCAATTCATCATTTTGCTATAGTGATTATGTTAGCACAGCATGTCTCGTAAAATAAAACCTTCAGGAAGGGAAAAAAAATAGTACAATATGAATCAGTAATAAAAAGTAATAAACGACTTAAGCTTATTCGTTTCATATATGCTTTTTTTCATTTCAGCCCTATACATAGACACGATCTTTTATCATTTGATAAATTCGATGACAGAAAATTTGTCATGCTCATGGTTCATTGGATAATCCTAGTAATATTTATGGAGTATCTAATGCTCATTCATCCTCTCCGGCAACGTAAACTCGATTTCCTATACCTGATAAAATTAATTGGAAAGTCCTGAAGGCATAAACACATGCATGAAATAGCATAGTACACTTTCAAACTGCCTTGCAACTCTGTGAAAGTAAGAATCAAGCGTGCGGAAACTATAGAGCTTCAACTACCCTCTGGGGTAATAAGGCTCACATATTCCATCATATCCTCTGATGATCTTTCTTCAATATCACCTAGGGACGTGAACAAACGGTTCTTATGAAGAGTTGAAGCATTTTCCAGAAAATATAATTGTATATATCGTTAGGTAGTTCATACACAGATATCAGACGTTCATTGCCTATCAATTACGTCAATAAGTTATTCTTTAATAAGTTGAAAAACAGTTTTTCTAAAGACCAGAAGTTGCGATGCTTTGGCAATATATTATTAAAAGTTTTTAATTAAATATTGTGGTAATTGAAGCTTTCATCGTTCCACTTATAATTTATTATCAAAGAATCATTCTAAAAACATTGGAAAAATCAAGAATCAAATAAAAAATTTATTGCTAGTTTTCTATTAAATGTCTTCAATAAGAAATAAGGGCTTGAAAGAAATTAAATAACATGAAAAGATCTGCGATATTAAATTTAAAAAAATGATCGTTTGATTGAATTATTAATTTGTTGTGCTGCTTAAGAAATAAAAAATGAATTAATGGAGTAGATAAAAAAAAATTGATTACCTGAAACATGGTCCTATGCCAGCAGATGATGAGATGGTGGCGGAGGTGGAGGAGGAAGCGGCAAAGGTCTTTCGAGAACTGGAATCGGTGATACATCCGGCATAGCAAACTTAAGCTTCTGCCAGAATAACTTGTCTCCCCATACCAGAACAGTATGTGAAGAAATTCGTTTTTTAAGATCAGCATCAAGGTCACGTGGACAGACACCGCCCACTAGTAGTAGAATGACTGATCGTCCTTTACCTCGGAGTGCTTCCCTTAGTGCTGCTTTAAATTCAAACCTCGCCCACTCTCCGTGTAGGAAATTACGTGATAGAATGAGGATAGTACGTCTGGAAGAATCAGCTGCTTCGGCCACAGCATCAGCAACATTAGCACCTGCTCCCAAGTCTCGATAATGAAGACAAAGTCTGTAGGATGACTCGAGGCCAGGAACTAGAACTCGAGACACAAAATTTTCGTCAACTGCTGAGTATGAGATGTATGCATCAAAAGGTTTTTCTCGGTCTTCAAAAGCTGCAGTTTTATAACAAGCTCTCAGACCACATCTGCTAGCAGCCCAAGCACGGATGGTTCTACGATGTCTGAATGCACCACAAAGTAATGCCATCATGGCAAAGAAGAGCACAGCTGTAGCTAGCAAAAGTGGTAAATAAGCTTCCAGAGGTCTTGTTTCTACAGCAGAAGTAACTCCTGTCAATGCAGCACAATTTATTACAGTCCCATTAACTAAGAGAGTGATAGGCATTCCGAGGGCACAAGTTACTCGTTTCCAATCAATAATTTTAGCTTTATTCTTCGACATCCAATCACGAACTTGATCCAAATATGTACAATCACAGCTCCAAGGGTTATTAGAGATACTTATATCGACAAGATATGGATTTTGTGCTAATTGCCAAAGGGCAAATGTACTTAATTGATTATTTTCGAGTCTGAGTACTTCAAGATGACGTAGAGGATTGAAAGTACCGTTATCAATGTGAGAAAGTAAATTATTCTGAAGATAGAGCTCCTTAAGATTTTCAAGCGACACCAGTTCGACACCATTGAGTCGAGATATTTTATTGTTTTCAAGGTGAAGAACAATAAGACGTTTCAAACTGCTGAAAGTGTGATTATGAATGGCGATGATGTTGCTGTCATTCGCATAAAGAACTTCAAGATTTTTACGACCAATGAATGAGTGAGAAGTTAATTCACTAAAATTATTGCCATCTAAATAAACTTCTGTGGCATCCATTGGTAGACGTCCTGGAAGAGTCTTATACCCAGCGTTAGAACAATCAACAACATTAGCAGACCAAGATTGATCATGGTAACATGTACAGTTATTCGGACAAGTCATTTCACAGTCACATGCATCAAAGTCACAGCAATGACAGAGTGCAAAGCAGTGTGCTTTGTAGTCGCAGAGAAATTGCGATGGCTTAGCTTCTAAAAGAGGAACGAAAGAACGATGTCTGTCGTATAGTAGACGACAATAGACTGATTCTAGGTCCATGACCTTTGGATGCTGTCTCAGCGGCAATGAATTTATTCTCTGCAACCATTCAATCGTGCAATCACAAATGAAAGGATTACCACCGATGTAAAACTCTGGGAGTGGTCGATTCTCAGGTACCTGAGTTAACTGCAATGCTGACAAATCCATCTTTACTATCTGATTGGCGTAGAGATCAACTCGCGTAAGATTTTCCTTGTCGTGAAATGTTTGCGGTTCAACAGTGTGAATCATGTTGTCATTGACGAAGAGTAGCTCTATGGAATCTGGCACAGATTTTGGATGAATTCTCGTTAGTCTGTTGAAAGAGACATCAAGAGTCTGCAAGCGGAAACCTTGGGGAGCTACGCCAAGATCCATGATCGCGTTTTTGTGTAGATCCATCCACTGAAGTTTTTCCGGTAGAAGGCTATAATCGAAGTGGCTTATCGTGTTGTCAGACATATTGAGCCAAAGCAAACCTGGTGCATTTGCAAATATTCCGCTCATATCCTGGAGGTAATTTGCGTCTAATCTTATCGCTTGCAAGGCTGGATTGCCAGAGAACGCAGCATATTCTACGTACTCGATTTTATTTCTTGCTAAATTGAGGATTTGTAATGCTGGCAGTTCAGATAGAGCTTCTTTCGTCACGTTTACTATCTCATTGCCGATCATTCGCAATCCATACAAGCTGGTCATTCCTCTAAACCCTGGTTTTTCTAGACTTTTTATTTGATTTTCACCAAGATCCAGTGTTCTCAACAATCTCATATCTTTTAGTGCAATCGGAATATATTCAAGATTATTGCCAGATAAATTTAAATCTTGCATACTAGAGCAATTTCGAAAAGCATCTGGATGTATACCTTCCAGTAAATTTGAATCCAATGACAGCAATGAAACAGCGTATAAACCATTTAAAGAGTAAGCATCTAAGTACGTCAATCGATTGTGCGCCAATTCCAATGTGTGTAAATTACTCATGGGTGAAAAGGTGTCAGCTGGTATCGTTTCTATTTCGTTGTATTTTAAATTCAGTATTTGTAGTGTATATAAATCTTTGAATAATGCCGGATCCAATTTAACTATTTTATTATGTGATAAATCCAATAAAACAAGGCGTATTAATCCGGTGAATGTGGCAGCATTAAGCCATGAACTTGTCAGCATATTTCTGGACAAATCTAACGTGACAAGTTGATTCATATCAGCTACGAGGCCTGGTGCCAGGGCACTGATCGAATTGTTTTGAAGCCGCAGTTCCTTCAACGTGTTTGTGGCGTCCTTGAACATACCGGCGGGAAGAGCAACGATCCTATTGCTCGACAGGTCGCATACCTCGAGGGATCTCAAACCACGAAGTGCAGCGTCTTCTACCATGCTGATGATGTTCCGTGATATATTAAGACTCTTAAGCCGCTCAAGCGAAGAAAACCCATGGGACGGCAAAACAGATATCTGATTGTTAGACACGTCAAGACTTTGAATATCAAGTAAGCACGTGATCGGTGCCATCGTCAGCTCAATATCCCTTTTCTGAGAGTTTTTTACAAAATCACTGAAGCCAAGTTCCGTTACGTCTTTCAACATATTCCAAGAAACATTTAAAGTAACTAAATTGGTGAGAGGACAAAAAATACCTTCAGGTAGTTGCCAAATGTTATTAGATGAAAGATCCATTTTCTCGATCAAAGGAGTCATATCAAAAGCACCACGTTCCAATTCAAGACTTACTTTGCTTTTACGTCCATTCAGACTTCTTAAAGTTAAATTCCTCAAGTCATGGAAGCCATTCAGTATTCTAGCAGGCCAAAGCTCAAACTTGCAGCCAATTAAACGTAAGTCACGTAATCTCCACAAATGCGCGAAATGTTCAACTATACTGATACTAGAACTAGTTTCTAGCTCCAAATCTTCACATATAATGTTTATTGACGTAACATATTCACTGATGACACGTGACAAGTTTAAATGCAGTACTTCGATATTGGAGAAACTATAGACACAGGTTAATGCCACTTCATGTTGTAAAGTACAATGCTCGGGCACGTCGAATCTTGATGATGGCACACTGGTTACCGCTAGTACGTGATATACGCCGAATACAAGGCACCAGGCCAGCCGTAGAGTTAACGAGCGGGCCGGGTGGCCACTGCCGGCCCTCATTGCTCTATCTCTCTGACTCGTTGCTCTTTGGGTCCTAGTTATGTTCAACCAAACGAATTACGTATACGTACAAACTACCACACAATTCCATAGTGCTGTGGTAGTAAACGTAGTAAAAACAAAACGCTCAGCACTAAACATCTCGACTCTCGTATTTCCGCTCGCCTGAACTACTATACTTTTTCCGAGTCGTCAAGTGTCCACTTGTCAAAATTTCTTCTCTCACATTCTTCTAACTTCCAAACACAATTGTTTCTCTCCTTAAAAAATTATGTCATGTACAGTCTACTTCTCTTTATATTAACTTTCCGCTGCTACGAATGTGAAACCATTTACGACTCCACTCTTCTACTCTTGCCAGCTCTCATCATTCCTTACTTTTTTCTCCCGTTGTCGTTTTTTTTTCTTTCCTCTGACTTTAGGAAAATGTCAATGTTTTCCTCGAGCGACTTAGCGACTCTTCTTATGTCAGTTTATCTTTCAAAATGTCACCGAGTTGCTCCGAAAATGATACTCATTAATCTCTCCCTTTACACTCCACCAAAACGTGCTCCCTTAGTTGATTACTTTGGTATTCAAGCCACACGAATCAACTCGTGATGGTCAGCTTAGATATGACATAACCGTTTGTCGCTGTCATATATTCTTCCTCTCAAGGAAAAGTGTACAAGAGTGAGTACTTTTATCGGAAAAACAAACTTGAAATATATTCACCCCCTCAAAATGACAGCTTATATATACCTTTCAGCTTAAACTTATGTATTACAATTTCATATCACTTCAAAATTTTCCTTAATATTTCTATCACTTAATTACGTTTTACTCTCCATCATATTCATCACAACAATTCCCGTTCATCACTCACGAAAAATATTCATTTACGTTTTATTAATTTCTCTCTAATACTACCATGTTTCAATTGATGCATTATAAAATGAAGAAATTTTTTACAACATGTAGATAAATGGAGATAGTCTCTAGATGTATTAAATTCCTAATCCTACTCCCGCAAGTACAGGACCACTTCGATTAGAGGCCACCGCGCAACTGACGAGAGATCTCTACGGTCTTTTACTCGACGCAACATCCGCCAATGATGCCTGCTCCCTTCCACACTGCAAATGTACCACCACCAAGTCCAGCGCGAGTAGCGGCGGCGCCGACGAGGAATCCACAGCCGCTGTGGCTCCTGCCGAGCGCAATATAATAAAGCACCTACTGGTAGACATTGCACCAGCATATGTGGACACTCAAAGAACAGGAATTATGTTAAAAGCATTACATAGACTTCAACTTTTTAAATTCCTTCTTTTGATCATGTCAAAGGAATTTGGCCTTTCCTACATTTCATTCATAATGATATGAAATATATCTATTTATTTTGATAGGATATCTCTCTTTTTTTTATAAACATTAAATTATCTACGGACGTTTTATAGAAGAAATTCATTGTTCCATTTACTTTTGTCCACTTTAAATTGCCATTGTTTTATTTGCGAAACACTTACACAATTCGCTTGTTTAACTTTCAAGTGCTCTGCTGTACCAAACTCTGTACGCTCGTATTCGTGTAAAAAAGAAACTTAAAACCCTTTTTGTCATTTAACCGTGTGTCAAGTGGGAACAACAATTATTAACAGAAAAAGTTATTTATTTATACCAGGCAATGTTATAATAGAAACAATCAGTCTACTTAAAATGCTTTAAAAAATTAATTTGATATTTTTGCATACATATACAATAATCTGTTATGATTAAAATAAATAATATTTGATATAATAGAATAATTTTTTTCAAATGAAATCAATCATATGTATGATATTAACTTAAAAATTGAAATTGTTGTCTTTATCTGTTTACGAATTGCCTTAATTGAATTCAATACCATAGTTGATCCAACTACACTGGACTCCCTTAGGAAACTCTGGTGATTGGCTAGTTCCGGCATATATCCCACTGCTGTCGGGCAAAGTTGAATGCTAGCAGTGCACAATTGAATATGTGTGAATGCATTCATTGCAACAATATGCGTGACACACTAGGTTTGAAACAGAGCGTGATTCCATGCATGACGAATTTTATGTTTGTCTCATTCGTTACAATACAATACACTACTAGGGGATGATTTGGTTTTTGAATTGAAAATAATGAAAAAGAAAAAAATTTAAAGGTAATACAAAAACATTTTTTCATAAAATGTACACACTGAAGGTATAGAACTAAATATTTTGTGTTGGGTTGGATAAATTTAAGAACACAAATTTGAACCTAAGTCCTTTGATATGCCGCCCGAGAAAGAAGAAGTTTTAATTAAACAGAGAATGGGCGTTTAATCGAGCAAAAGGGATTAATTGCTGAGGGGTTAAAACATCAGGGGGTCAAAGAGGAAAAAGCGAGGGTGAGAAGAGCAAGAGAGTCACCGATTCAACTGCTAACCCTCAACCTCAAGCAGATAAAACGGTTCGTATAAATATCCACGACTACACTCGTCCATAGTCTATGTCTTTTGTCATTTTTTTTTTACTCTTTTTTACTCACTTTTTTCTACTGATGCTCTTTTACATCCCCGGCAGTGAATAAATTAAGTACATATAACTCGAGCAAATTAAAACAAACGTGACAATACTTTACTTCGTCTCGGGGATTATATGAACAAGACTGAGAAATAAAGAAACTCACTTTAGAACAGCAGAGAAAAAGAGTAGGAAATAAACTTTCATCATGTTAGAAATTAATTTTTTAATTTTCATGTATTATGAAAAATCGATAAACTAATTTGATCGTGCGAAATATAAATTACTTTAAGTTTGATATTCATAGTCATCATTATTTTAAAATAATGATAGCATATATAATTACGGTAATACGGAGTTCTTTAATAATTTCAGGAATGAAAATTTATAACAGCTTCATTATTCTCGAAACTTTAGCTTCATTTCTCATTAGAATTGTGTGATTGTACAATACTATATCATATTAATATTACTAAAATAATTTTGAGAATTTAAAATTGAAATTTTCCTTTTCATCTTTTATTATTTTATTATTTGAATTTAAACAAAAAAAAACATCATAATTTCAAAGACCAATAGTGTGTTTTCTGAAGTACTCAACAAAAGAATTAATAACTTTTTATAAAGAGAATGTAATTTACTGTTTTCAATTTATATTCAGATAAAAAATTTCATTTAAACAGTTGAATAGATTAAAACTTTATTTTTCTGAGTTACAATTGATTTTCGATTGTTTTATTATTTTTTATTCAAGCCAGTACTTTAAATTGAATAGAACAGATTTCATGCAATAATAAAAATATATTTTATAATTCATTATTTTCGTTTGTTATAATTGTATACATCACAAAATATTTATTCTATAAAAGAGGACAAGTAAATCTGAACAAAAAAGTCATAAAAATTAATTGAAAAATGTATTTAATATAAAAATAGAATAAATTGCAAAGGATGAAAATTTTTTACAACGTTATTTCGAGTACCAACAAGCTCTTTTCATTAGGCATAACTAATGTGATGTCACATAAACGAAATGTGACTATAAAATACTCAATAGCTACAAAATTACTTCTTCCTCCTCTTTATTTTCTTGATCTTAGTATGATAATTATTCAATTAATTAAAATATAGAAACCAATAAATAAAGAAATATAAAAACTTTTCTGTGAACTTCAACTATTAACGATCAAGTATTTACAGTACTTATTAAAAGTATATATATATGACGAAAGTATTGAACTAGTATTTGTACAAATAATGCAATCAGTAAATTTATGTTCGAATGTTTGAATTGCCAATATAAAATAAATAGTAAATTTGGTAAGAAAATAGTCACGACCTAATTAAAAACTATCAAAGTATTATTTACTAATTATTATGTATCTTACTTTGAAATACTACGTAAATTTAGCTAGTACATATTTTTGATGTAAATTATTCAACACGTTCTGTAAATGAAAGCATCAAACATAAAGCAATTGCTTTGTTCTTTTATGCAACATCGAAGTCACAACATTTGACTGATATGTCAAATGTTTCACCGTTCCAATAAAACCCACCCCTTTCTTCACGTCCTCATCACCCTTTTATTTTTTTCGACCCCCTCGTGGCATACCGAAAAATAAACAGACACGACTCTCCAGAGTCCATGATTAATCGTCGCTGACCTATCAAATGCTTTTGATACTCTATTCGTTATGAAAAAAAAAAGACCAAAAGTGAGAGACTAATAAAAAAAATTAAAAAAATACCACTCATCAGTTATCAATCATCCACTATTGGATTTGTCAATTCCAATTATGATGTCGTTGCTCCGAAGCTGAAATTCGAGATGCAAGAAGAGACAACGTAAAAATTAAACGAATAAATTCGTCTACCAAAGTGAATATTGACGGCTACCGAATGACGATCGTGAGTAACGCATTTAAATCTATTCCAAAGTCGTTCTAGAATTACGTGAATATTTCATATATGACCCATTGCCAGAGTCATAGGATGCAGAGGATGTTAAACGTTGCCAATGTGGTGGTGCAATTCAACTTAGCTGTTTTCAACATACCAAAACGAACTAAAAGTTTACAGATTCCATCAATTTATATACCAAAGTGGATTTAATTATTTAATACTCATCTGAAAGTTTACATTCTCGCCCAATGTAAGCGAAGAAAAATAGCCGTTTTCCTATTTCTTCGAACCTTACCGTAAACGAAATTACTCGCTTTCGTGGCAATATTAGATTAAATCCTACTAGAAGGCTCGAGGCCATAGGGGAAACCTCCGTTTCCAGTAAATTGATACAAACGACACCCAATTTCTACCAATCCTCTATTACTATCACTTTTGACTTTTCTTTCCTACATTTTAGTGATTGAAAAAACATCGACAGACTCTCAAGTAACTTTTATTACTCCACTGTTACATAAATGATGATAATTTAATTATGGAAATTTCCATATAAACTTCACTCAAAGGGAAAGTGTATTAATCGAAGTACTTAAGATGATATTGAAAAATTATATTGTGATGATGAATTTGATCGAAAATGTATATTAACTCTTGGAAGAATTTCATTAATGTGTTTATTACTTCTTTCTTCGTCGAAAGTATGAATATAATAGCTTAGAGTACACAAAATGACATGATTTAAAAAAATACCTACTCTTATTAAATATTTTCTTAGTGTAAATTGCTTCTGTTTTATTAATAATTTTACCTATATATTTATCGTTGATGTTATTCATCACAATTTCATAAACAATTTTTTCTCATTTTTATAAAGTTCTAAGAAAAATTGCAAATTAAATCAAACTTTTATTGGCGTTGCACATTTTTAAGTAGCACAAAGTGCTTGATCGAAAAAAGTAGAGAGTAATTTTGTTGGAAAGAATCCAGTGGGAATTTTTATGGAGATAAACTTGCTATTACTATTATTACATAAAAATGTCTGAGGTGATTATAAATTTTTTTTTTTATTAAAAAAGTGTTGAGAGGTATAACAGCGAGCCAAAAAATAAAAAAATAAATATTTCTAATTTTCAGCGTGTATATATTTAAAAGTAATCTTTGTAAAGTTACTTTACTCTATAATTAAAGATGGAGTTACATATACATTTTGAAAACTTGATAGTAACTTTTGAAAATATTCAAAACTTGTTGGTCTTTATATTGGCATGGGAGTAACCGAATGCCGCAAAAGTTTTCTCAAGAAAGCAGTCTCACAACGAGGCACCTAAGAGAGTTTCCAATAACATAAAACTTTTCATCCTGACGATTTCCTTGTGACTACACTATCCACACTTCTACCTAAGTTAATTCGCCGCATCGAAATAATATGCAGATGTAATTTCTGGTAACTTTATATTATTCGACTACTGTGTTCAGACAAGCCCCAAGGTAATATAAGTCTATACTTATACGAATCGTATCCATATCAAGATCCACCACTACTATCAGGAGACAATTTTACATTTTCCAATTTATTAAAACCTTTGTTTTCATTGGATACATCAAACCATTGGATTTTATCTGATTTT